GTACAAGTAGGCTCTCACTACGCCCACTCCTTGCCCAGGCCGGTGCTCTCTGTGCGTCCAAAGCCACACGTCCTCGGACAAGATTATGGACTTCCACTCAAACTGGCCGTCAATGTGTCGAACGCTGCGCCTGGGGATCGTGAGCTCCACCAGATCCCCTTCTATGAGTTCAGGAGGCTCCAAATCCCAGTCGATGGTGGCCTCATAAACCTCCACTTGCGCTCGCGGCCACATCCAACTGGCGACTAGAGAGAACGTATCGGGAGGGATGGGCAGAGAAGGTGAAAGATGATAGAAGAAGGCTTGTTGAATTTCGGCAGTGTTTCGTCTCCCTTCGTTAGGAGCCCCGATATCACGCGGTCAATCTATCTCCTAGCTATCCAAGGGTCCCCTATGGTGCCACAGGGCGGAGTCCCGGCTCTAAACAAGGCAACAGGCCCTATAGTCAAGTTCCCTCGAATAGAAGGCGTGTGCTCTGCTCGAGGGAACGCTGCGTCCGGCTGCTCCGGTCACCCCTCAGGAGTACAATTGTCCTCTCTCTCTAAGAAATAAAATTAGAAGGCCGTGATCTTCTTCCCTTTATTTTTTTTAAGCCATTTTAATATTTTTAGGGAATTTAATGAATTTAAATAAATAAAAATCACTTTTATCTTCTAGAGACCCACTGGCCCTCGACTACTGCCTAGAGGCATGTAAAGCCCCCCTTGAGAGTAGCCCGGCAAATGCGTTTCTCTTTCCGCTAATATTTTTTTGTATTTGTCTCTAATTAATTTACAATAATTACATTTACGTAAGATACACCCTCCTTTCTTATTTTACATAAACTTATATCCCTCTTACATGTCTTTAGGCAGAATCGCTCGACCTCAAGAGGTCCTTGAAAATTTTGGCAGCACTTCGCCTCCCCCCGTGGGGATGGGGTGTGGCCGAAGGCCTCAAAATAGCCGCCGAAGGAGTATAGCAAAAGGGGAAAAAATATCAAAGAAAATTTTAATTTTTAACCAAATTTTTAAGTATTTTCTGTAATTATTTCCTAATTAATTCGAAATATTTTACAATTTTTCCCGAAAATGGGGCAGCATTTTTCCTCCCCCCCCGTGGGGATGGTGTTTGGAGCTTTCGCCCTTAGCTCAACAACCCGAAAGAAAAGACATCATAATTTTTAGAAATAAAATAAAATTTAATTAATTTCCCCCCCTATTTTTAGTATTTTTTTTAAATCAACTATACAAAAAGGGAAAATGCCTAAAAATACAAAAGGAAAAATATTTCACATATATTATTCTTCTTCTTCGAGGTTGTTATCCAACTCAAAAAAAAAAACCGAATAAGTCTTTCCCTAACTAGGGTTAGGGTTTAACTAACTAGGGTTTTGGGAGCTTCTTGCGCAACCGTACGCTCACCTCCAAAACTCGTTCCTTCCCAAAATTTTTCCGTTAACTTCACTCGAAATCTGCGATAAGCTTGACGGATCACTTTTTCTTAATCCGTTTCACAGTATTTTACACGAAATTCAAAAGAAATTATATTTTTAATTTTTGTTTTCTCTCTTTTTCCTAGCTGTCACATATTATTCTTGCCTCTAACTACCTCCGTTTGCCCCGTCCAAGGTATCAAAACGACGGGGAAAAAAAACTAAAGAAATTTGGTCCAAGGGGTTATTCCAAAATAATGAACCAATTTTTCGCAAAAATTAAGAAAGAAAACTGAAAATTTCGAATTAATAAATAGGAAATTGAAAAAAATTTGTTATCTCAAAATCTGACCGTTATAATTCAGCAAGATACGTCTCATAACGTTCGCCTCCTCGAGAGGATGAACTTTTGTCTCCGCGTTCTTCGCGAGAAAATCCGCGGATTACAAGATATCTAAAAAAATTACTATTTCAAAAATTAATAAAAAACAGAGCTAATCAAGAAAACGAACTAATTAGTGCATGGACTAATCAGCCCGCGCACCCCCGTTAATTGGGGAAGGCCGCAACCTTGGGGGTGCTGCTCCCCTCCCCGGCAACGGCGCCAAAATTGTGAGGAAACCCGGGGAGGGGCACCTACCGTTCGCCGAAGCCAAGGGCAACGGCGTCTGTCACCCGCCGCGTCCGCTTTCGAGGTCCTCGGCGACCAGCAGGAATCGAAACTTGTGGCGTCCTATCACGCTTCCAATTTTTTTTTTCTTTCTTTTTGTAATTTAGCAACTTCACACAACAAGGGGTTTCGACGGTCAACTGGTAATACCACAAGTTCACACAACCGTAAGTTTCAACAACCGACTGGTTTAACAGCTAATCAACAGTTCAGCAAGTTCACGCAACGGTGAGTTTCAATAGCTGGCTAGTAACTCAGCAAGTTCAAGCAAGAGTGAGTTTCAACAGCCAATCGACAGTTCAGCGAGTTCACGCAACAGTGAGCTTCAACAGTCAACTGGCAAATTAGCTACGGGCGCAGCAGCGAGTTTTCGGAGTCAACCTTGGATGTGCCCCCCCCGATTCTCTTTCTATCTCTCTCTCTGTTCTCTCTCTCTCGCTCTTCTCTCTCACTCTCTGTCGCTGTTCTCTCTCTCTCACTCTTGCTGTTCTCTCTCTCTCACTCTCGTTGTTCTCTCTCTCTCACTCTCCCCCGGCGTTTGGTAAGCTTTGTATACTCCATCATGACACAAGGTGCTGGCCAGGTCCGTGCGCTGTCTCGAGTAAAGAAATTAATATGACATAAATTTGGATGCACACGTAGACCCGTTCGTGTCCCCTCCACCCAAGGTCTTCCATGAGAGCTACCCACTTGGGTGTATCGATGGCCAGGTAATAGGGATGGGTACACTTCCATGCCGTTCGCTCTTGCTCGATGCGGGCTGGGTTTCCCCCCAAATGAACCAAAAGGAATATTGCTCCTTCGCTGGTGTATGAGAAGATTATCAGCCATACCCCCTTTTTCTGTTGTGAGCAGCGACTCAATTACTCTTCACATAATGAGAAAGAGTAATGTCAGGGGATCGCTGAGGGCTGTACCTCGAGTATTCACCAATGCAGTGGAGCAATAAAATCTGATCGAAAATATTATTATTATTATTATTATTTTTATTATTATTATATATATTGCGCCCTATCAATCGAGCGGGGACTCCGAGTCCGTGTATCTTTGAAGATCAGCGAGTACGCTCTTCTTTCCTCCGTTTTGTCTCCCTATTTTCCCCCTCTTTCCTTGAGACACTCACTCACACTTTCGGTCTCAGTCCCTCTCTCTCTCCTCTGGCTCTATCTCCCCCTCTCACGCACA